TCATTATTTTCATGTTGGCTTGCAATAAAATGTCTCCCTGTGCTGGTACGGCAACTCAGTGCAACTTACTGCGGCTTCTGCATCTGTGTCCATTTCTCGTTTGGAGAGGCAAAGCTTGAAATAGACACGGTAGATCAGCATATCTAATACACATTTTCACGTGCTACTAGTTTGCAACAAGCAGATTGAAAATCACTAATATACCAAAAAGAAAAAAAGAGGATCTAGAAATGAGCCTTGAGGAACACCTACAGGTAAACAAAGAGCTTGATTGTTGATTATGTAGTCTAGTCTTCTCATATGAGAAGTTTTTCAGCGACTGTTGCTCCACACAGTTTACAATGTGTAATATTTTTCTTGAGATCAAATGCTAAATGTGTCAATATGTCTACTCTTCTATTCCTCGCAAACAGTGACATTTTGTTGTGTTTTCACGTGAAACAGTGAGCATGGGAGCTAACAGTGCTATTTTCCGGGGGCAGATCGAATGTGTGTGTCTGACCTTATTACACACAGAGATTACTTCTGATTGGAGAACTTTCATACTCATCCCACTTTTCTAACAACTTAATTCGTTCTGACTGGATCTCATCTCTCCAGAATATTTTCATCTCATTTTTATCCATTGATGAAAGTGTCAACACATTTCATCATAGCTTTTGTCCTCGTGCATTCGTTTCTATTTAGTTATCATCTTGTTTTCAAAAACCAAACTGCACTGGGTGCAAAGCTGAAGAAGTGCTGTTTAAAGAAGTGACAAATTGATCAGCTACTAGTTTTTCAGCCACATTAGAGAGAACAGGCAGAACGCCTACAATTGTCAAGAACTCGATGTTCATCAATTTTGTGTATCAGTGTAAGAACAGCTGATTTTCTGATATTTTGGATTCTCTGCACATCATAATTTACCAGTGAGCACACCTTAGGAGGACACCGCATGTAACGTGGGGTGTGTTTGTCGTCTCCTGGGGTCCATTTTTATAGACCTCAGCATTTGCTGAAGTAAGGTGCCGCAAACATATTTATTTTATGATCCGGTCCTCTGATAAGAAAACCTTTGATATTTCATAGGAGGAAATGCACAAGTAGACACAGCTTTCACTGTGACACCGAGCAAGCATTAATGTTGTTATCGAAACCAGTGACACATTCAAATGTTTGCTGTCATAAATATCTGTTATCTTTGTCCTCCTCTGTGGGATGTTTTCTGTATTTGAATGTGCAGCATGTAACAGCAAGAAGGATCCCGGCTTATTTAGAGTTTCTTTTTTTATCAGTGAGCAGTGCTTTTTTAAGTTTAGGTTTAGTGACCTGAATGAATATGATCTTCTGCAGTTATGTAAAATTTGTTTACTTTCTCAGTCCTCTGTTGGGCAACCAGCCACATGGCTCGGACCTTCCGTCTCCGAACCTGAGGCCGAGACACCAGGAACTGATCCTGACACCATGTGGCCCGGTGAGATACTGGCGCTGCCCTGCTGGGAAGTGAAGCACGTGTTTTCGTTCCTGTCGTGCTTTGATTGTGATTTTTTTTTTTGTTGTGGCTATCACAGGTTGTTTCACATTCTTTGTCCTTTCCATGCTGTTGTAGATAAAGCGCTGGTCGGAGCTGCCGCGCCTGCTGCAGGTCTATTTCTGCTTCGCCATACTGTCTCTGCTGGCGCTGCTCGGCCTCACCGTGTCCAGCCTCTACAAGCAGCACACGGACACGGACGTGTCCGATGAGGACAACTTCACTGTGTCGCTGATCCAGCTAGTTGGAATAGGTGAGTTTGTTGAGGGCAAGAACAAAAAAAGACATTTGCAGCATTCATCACCACCCCCACCGCCTCCTTTTAAAAAGCAGAAGTTCTTCTGTTGCAATCATATGATGCAAACTTGAGTGGAAGGAGCTGGTTCCAGTGGCTTATGTGTTCAGTGATGATTTATGTCAACTGAGCTAGCTTTATTTCCTCATAGCTCAGGTTTACAGCTCGCTGAAGCATTTCCCATAAAAATGACTTGAGCTGCACTCTCTACCTGCCCTGTAGAGATTTGAGGAAATGGTGACTTTTGCTTAATCTCCTATGACCTTTCGTCCACATATGTGGACATCATATTTTGGGTTATTTAGACCAAAATACTAAATCTTGCTCTACAAGGGCCTGATATCCACTTACGAGGACATTATACTGCTACTGTTCTATCGAAATTTTAAACGAATATCCTCATATGTGGCTCTCATTTTTCTTAGAACAAAATTCAGGTTAAAAAACATCAGGTAATTCTTTGTTTTTACTTTCATCAGGTCCCAATCAGCCCAAATATCAAAGAGAAATTAAAAATGCATGCCATGGAAGAGTTTGGGTCTTAGGAGGTTAAAGCCGCTTTCGAAGCGTCATTTCCAACAAACACTGGGATGCTGTGTAAAACCGAAATAAAAGCAAAATGCAATGATTAGCAAATAAATTGTGGAGCTTAGTGTAGAGTAAATGTTACCTCTGAGGAGATGTTTGATGAACAGAGTAGCAAAGTAACTGATTTTCATGATCATTAACATTTTTACACAGAGAGCTTCATTAAAAGCTTTGTATTGTGTACTTATATCCTTAAGCTATATGATTGAGAAACGGTGTGCACACACAGTACAAATACTTCATCTTTATTCAAAGTGCTTGTCTTGCATGTGAGCTCTGCCTGTTGTCTGCCCCCTGCAGTGTTCTGCATCTACTACATTATCCGCGGCGTGCTGCAGGAGAACCGACAGGAGCTGGTGGCGTTCGTGCTCAGCGTGCTGGTAGTGATGATTCGGTCGGTGGTCAACTTCTCCGTGCTGGGTACGAAAGGCCAAGAGGAGCTGCTGGTGAGGAGTTTGGAGGGAATCGTGAATATTTCTCGTGCAAAAAGCAAATAGAACTTTGACTGATTTGGATTTGCAGAACAAAACCAGAAAAGATACTAATGTTAATATGAGCAATATGAGAAAATGTAAAAAAAAAAAAACCTACGGTAGAACATCTTTAGCACGACAGAAGTATATTAAACTTCAAGATATTCCATAAGTCCTGCGTGACTGACCGATGGCTGCAAAAATGAGACAGTTGTTGTAGTTTTCGCTCTGTACACCACCACAGTGGATTTTAAATCAAACAGTCAACATGCCTGTGATTGAAGTGCAGACTTCATTCAGCTTTCTTTTCATAAAATATTTAATTAACTGTAAGAAATTACAGCCAGTTTTATACAGTTTTCTATTTTAAGAGGCCCAGCAGTGATTGGACAAACAAACATAATTTGAGATATATAAGTTTTATGTCTTTTGACTTCCTGAAGGCTAGAACCCACGAGCATCACCAAATGCAGATGTTCTTCCCAGTCTTCACTGCAGCTCCCTCCCATTGCTAGTGGCTGTGAGTCTCTTTGCCTTCAGTTTTGTTTTCAGTAACCGAAAACGTGCTCGGAGAGAGCTGTTCCAGCCGAGCACGCTGGGTTGAGATCAGGTGACTTACTTGTTCATTCAATAATGTCTCGTTTCTTTTCCTTGAGAAACTCTTGGGTTGATTTGGCAGTTTTGCAGCATTTGGTTGAATCTGAGCAGAGAGCACAGCCCTGTACACTTCTCCATTAATCGTACTCCTTCTGTCAGCAGTCATCAATAAACAGAAATACATGCCCACGCTATGTTTGACAGATAATGGGGTACGCTTCAGATCATGAGTGGTTTCTCTCCTTCTCCACACTTTTCTCTTCCCATCATATTTTCATCTCTCCAAAGTGTCTTTCAGATGTTTTCTGGCAATGTCTAATCTCACTTTCTTGTTCTTGAGTGTAACCAGTGGTTTGCACCTTTCACAGTGATATCTTCTTGCGTGTTCTTGGCTTGCTTTGAGGTTATGACATTATTTTTAAACTCTAAGGAAAAATTTGCGATCATCCATTCTAGTTGTCTTCGGTGGTTGCTCAGAGTTAGCCCGATTGTTGATTAGGACACACCAAACGCTGTCTTTCTAAAAGCTTCCTTTGATTTTTCAGCCTAGTGATGTCCTCCTTCTGCTCCTATCAACTAGGCCTGTGCGATATGATGAGATATATCGGATGACGATATGGAAACATCTGTCGCTTCAAATTATACAGTATTGTTTGTTTTGTGGTGTTGCAAAATACACCGTTTACGGCAATATTTTTTCATTAGGGCACAGAGAATACCAGTATAGCCTAGGGCTGTTCGATATAACGATATATATCGGATGATGATATAAAAATGTCTATGTTTCATTTTACGCTATCGTTTGTTTCATGGTGTCGCAAAATAAACTGTTTACAGCAATATTTTTTTCACCGTTTTGATGGTCACTGTAGTGTTTATATTAATTTCTTAAAGTCCTCTCTTTCTCTTATATTTAATGTAACCACACTATGGATGGACAAGCGCCTGTTTTTATGCGTTGTGGTTAGCAACAACCACGGTAACAGCATCTCGTGTCCGCTTGTTTATTA